GATATATGAATTAAGACACGAATCACAGAAATAATCTTGATTCATGTGTTTGTCTTGCAGAAAGAGAGAAAGACTCGAGATGAATCTGACGTGGATACATTTTCCTCGAATTTTTTCAACGTTCTGTACATTCGAGAATCCGCGATGCAGAGTTCGCGGATCGTCGCGTATCATTCCGATTCCGGGGATTGTCGGGGCACGCTTTTGTCTGCTCGCTTTATTATTGTCAATATTGACTGTGTTGATTGACCCTAGAGCACTCGCTGCGTCAGCCCGCACCCGCCTCTTGCCATCACATCGCATCGCTGCACTCGCATCGCGTACGTGAGAGATGGGCGGATGATCGTGATTTTCCGCTGGTTGTTGAATAGATGGAAAAAAGCGGTACGCCAAATATCGCTCGATGGTTTTCGATTTATAGCGAATTATCCGCATGCCTATTGTCTGCTTCTGCCCATTCAAACTGCAACGAGAATACATCACGGGCGCATTTTATGACCTCGAGTGCGAGAGAGAAAGCCCAAATAGTTTCGATACAGTTTAATCGAAGAGTTTGTTTAGTGTGTAGCTAATTTATATTTAATCTCTACCCTCCGCGTAACTTACTTTATACAAATTCTATTGCGGCTTGTGCGTGTGTATTAGCTTCGTTCCTGAATATATCCAATTAGATAGAGCGAATTTTGCAGCACTTCCACGGTAATCACGAACGCAGACGGTAACTTTATTTGTTTCGCATATACGAGAATCAAATGCGACGCAATTTACATATAACCGAGAGAAATCGTTTGTACGGACTTTGTCACGCAAATGCAAGGAAACTGATGGTACTAAAGCCGCACGAAAAAATCGCGTAGTATCGCGCGCTCAATATTACTTTCGCTCGGTGCGTTTTAAGATGCAATTCAGGTTTCCAATTTGTTATGCATTCAGATTCTCAAAGAGCAACTTAAACATATGATAATGAAATTCTCCTTTGGCATACAACAGCCTGTTTGAGGCACAAAGATATTCTGGCTTACTTCTCTAACTCGATTCGACCGCAATGTAGCTCCGCGAAATTCTCGTAAAAGTGAAGTTAACCAACGCAATCTCGCAATGGTTTTCCCCAACTTATAGCGAGATACGGAAGCGACTGTCTCCAAATCGACAATAAACCGGTACTGTTGCTTCACCGTAGCAAGAGTTTTATTTGAGATTTGTCATTTATGATATTTTCCGTGTTCTCCAAACGATGGGACACGTAACTGAATTGGATCGTTGTTTCATTGAATCGTTGGAATATTGCAAATAGGTATCGGACCGTTCCCATCTCGAGAGAGAACAATCGCGGCTCCTTGGAATTAATGCGATCCCGTTGTAGCCTGCGACAGTCTTGAGCTTCCTGATGAAGTTGGGACGTTTATCTTGGAAGGCGGCGAGTCTATTCGAGACTGCCTCTTGAAAAGGACGTCTGAGACGAAATTTCTTGAAACGTGGTTACACTTCTTAATTAAGATGTGTCAGAACGATACCAAACTCCGTGTTATCTAGCAAATTATTTCAGTCGCGTGTTCAGGGAAGCGATATCGCTTAATGGGATCTTCATCGCGCGACGTTAAGGGAAAAGAGTGTTTCAGAGATACTTAGCTTAATTCGAGTATATTTAACGAACATCGCAGTGATGAGAATTTAACGCGGAATATTTTTCCAGGAGATGGATACGTTCAAATGTGACAAAGCAGTCACATTTGTACGAATAAACGTCATTCTTCATTAATTTGTCATTTGTTACGTGAAATAATACTACAAATCATATTCACAATATTATAACGTTAATTAAAAATTAGCATCTCGTGCACATGGTCCTGGTAGATACGATATTTTACATATGAAATATTTACGTTAATTTGGCCTCGAAATTAATTCCCCGAATCCCCTGATATTAATTGGAAATTAATGCCGAGTGTATCACATGTTTGGACGAGAAAAGCTACCGCAGCGCTATAATCCAACTACTATAATTCACACTCGTACAGCAGGGTTCGCTGACGTATTACCGCTGCACTGTGATGTATTATTTATTGTGTTACGCAATTTTGATGAGGTTTTATGAATCGCAGTAGCTGACAGTCGCCTACAATGGGATAAAGCCATGCATGACCGCTAATTGAGCGCCCTTGGTAACCCTACGTCAATTTTGTCATATCCGCTGGTCGTATTTGGGTCGAATATAGCCCGACAGCAAACCTGCACGCGTTACACAACGTGGCGTAGCTAATGTAGTTTAGAATAGGCGTGTCCATCAAAACGCACAACCCGCTACCCAAACTAATCGAATAAGATGAGAGGCTCTGTCGGGTATCTCAAGCATCATTATGGCGCTGAAAATGTAACATCCTGAAAATTATCTTCCTTAATATCATATAATAGAGCTTGTTTGTACGACAAAGCCGAATAGCTCTTACTAATGACACATAATATTTCCTGATGAATAACTAGAGTTTTCTAACGATGCGAGAACGTGAGGAAACTGAATTACCATATTTACTAAATAATATCGGTAAAGAACGTCGATGTATCCTACTTACGTGGCGCGAATATCTTTGTCGCGCCCTTCGAACGTGACCGTCTTTGGTCGCCTACGTGTCGGATTTCTTTGCGACAGCCGTTAATTAGAATCTGTGTCGCGACTTTCGGACGGCGAGTTGGCGTACCAAAGAGCAGCTGACGAGAAGAGGAGAGACGCCTGGTGCATCTCGACGATGCGAGTATTTCACGCGGAGTCAAGAGTCATCATCCTCTCTTGCCCCACTCACTCTCGTTCGCCCTCGCTTGAGCGAGCACGAATCTTAGATTGCATACAGCGATTGCATAACTTGCGATTGAAAAGCGATATTTTTTTCTCTCGTTAATTGATCTATTATTGCGAACCTATATAATAGCTCGTGTCAGAATTATTTAGCTCAAAGCTCATCTTTATCTGTTTTACACGATTGTATCAAATATTTTGCGCAAATTGCGAGTGCAATAATGTTTATAAATGTACACGTGACAAGTGTGGTTAACAACATGGATTCTATATAATGTGAGTTGTCAGAACAAGCGGCAGGTTGTACTCTGCTCTGTCGTGTAATAAACTGCCGCAAATTTGCACTATGCTAATTTTCGGTAATATTCGGTTAATATAGTGAATTGGTAACTTTAGAATAATGTAGCACTAAGTGGGTAATAATAGCGTAAATTTTTAGTGCTTCGTACGACAGACTCACGCGAGTATCGATTTTAGGAGAGAGTCGATGACCTAAGTTGCATGAAATGGAAATGATCGAGACCGGGCGGCAAAAATCAATGACCTTTAAATCCATCAGCGCGATAAAATGGCCCGGCCCGACAGTCACGAAACATCGCCGTCAGATATATGAGGAAATTTGCAAAGCAAATTTTTCGAATTTTACCGACGGTCGCGAATTTTTATTCCGTTGCCCTTAGAGCCTATCCACGGTTTCGAAGCTTCGCTTCGCTTCGCTTTAATCTCGCCGCCGTGATATGAGCTTTCAGTTTACCTACTTTTTGTGTGATCTGTGGATTGCGAGCGCGAGAAAATGAAGAGTCAGCTTCGTACACAAAGCTCACGTGCATATTCATTATTATCCGGGTGTCGACAAATTAGCGTTTCCAACGCTCTTGACGCTTATCAACGAGCGTAATACTCCAAAATATCCGAACAGGAGAAAATAAATAAAGCTCTTTATCTGCATAATTTGTCAGTGAAAAAATTGTAGTACACGCTACATCTCCAAAGTTATATAGATACAATTAAAGGTCTTGTTCTATTAACTGCGAAAGCTAACTGCAGGAAAAGAATGGAGCTCCAGAAAGAATTATAAAAATGTATTGCGAATTAGGTAGCCTCACGGAAGTCGCATAAAAGATGCAGTGCTTAATTACAGCGAAACATTAAACGTTGCATTCACGATAATGCCATTTATTTTAGACTATTTTGTCGAGCTCTTGCTTGCGATAAGTACAAAAAACGTGTGAAAATAGAGTATATATATGGGACGCACAGCTCTTATATTACGATTTTTATTTTATTTATTTTACCGCCGTTTTATTTCGGAGTAACCATTTCGCAGTCTGAGATGATCTTCAGCATTAGACGTTCTTCTCGATTTGCGCGGGATTGATTTCCGAAAGGCAGCCGGTAAGAAAGAATCGGTGACGGGATGAATTTTGGAATTTCTTTTTTCATCGTTTATATATCCTGTTCCGATTGAAGGCGGTTTGCGTCGAACACGGGGGGTTTCCGGACGGGCGGAAAAGAGTCTCGGGGCCTTTTTGCTGCTGACAATGAGATGCGGAGAGCGCGAGACAGTGGCGACGGTAATTTATTAACGTCTCGCAGAATAACGTTGCTCCTTAGCGCAAATAGCTTCCGAGCGTGAAGAAGAAACATATATGCACAGAGCTCGTCCGCAAGTCTAAATAGTGGATTAGAGGAGAGGACGTTTCATTTGTCAAGCTGCTCGAGCTGTGAGATATCCCGTTGCCATAATTTGCTGTAAGTGCGACGGGGAAACCACGATCCACGATGCGTATACTCGTATTCATATTTCACAATTTAAATACGAGATATCACGTCGCGAGAGATTATCAAAGAGACGGGACTTCGTTCGCGTAAAGAAAGTGAAGTCGACGATTCATACGTTTACTTGATAGCACACAAGACCATTATGACATCATGTGTCATCTCGTAGAAAAGAGCCAAGGAGAACTGCATTGCTGCTTGTCGAACAACTGCATCTATTAATTTCTGAAGGCCACGCGTTAACGAAGAAGAAAGTCTTACGTGCCTGAGGAATTTCGAAATTTCTCAATGTCCCGTTGCATTGTTACGTCACGGGATAATCCGCGGAGTTTTTTACAGAAATGACGCGAGCCGTGGTAACGCGAAAGCAAATGTGAAATGTCAAATGATCAAAGTAGTAACCGGAGACTGTTGAATTTCTCTGTTGCAGAAGGTGGACCCCGAGCTGATATTTACAAAACAGGAACGAATCGGAAAGGGTAGCTTCGGCGAGGTTTTTAAGGGTATCGACAACAGGACTCAGCAGGTTGTTGCCATCAAGATTATCGATCTTGAAGAGGCGGAAGATGAAATCGAGGACATACAGCAGGAGATTATGGTGCTGTCGCAGTGTGACAGCCCGTACGTCACCAAATATTATGGATCTTATCTCAAAGTAAGTAGAAAAATATACTCTTGACCGGTGTTTAAAAAAAAAACTCAGTTGTTATTACGGTCGTCAACGTATATCTGCTGACAAGATACCGGTCGAGACACTCCTCTTTTTATCACTGTTCTATTCCGATGAATCCGCCGCCATATAATCGCACAGGGACAAAAATAAAAGCCCACTATCGAGGGCACTTGCCTGTTACGCCCCATCATTTTTCATACAGCAAAGAATAGGAAGGGCTTGACGGTCGGTTAACTATCGCTTCCGGCTCGGCTGTGTCGCGTCGTCCGTTGCTTCCGCTTCCTGCGAAACGAGCACAATCGGGAACTACCGCAGATCCCTGCGATTTTGCGACGTAATAATAAGAACGATCTTTATTTTTAGATGTTTTAATAATGTGCTCTCATTATAAATTATGCATTTATTGATTTATAATAGAATAGTAATTAAAATAGTAATTAATAGAAAATAGTAACTATTAGTAATTTTTATTAAAATAATAATTAAAAAATTGATGGAATGATTAGAAATTGTTTAGAAAATATATATCTATATTATTTTAAAAGCTTACAATTCTCTAGGAGAAAACATCTGTGCGCTTCAAACGAACGCGATCTTATACCGTTCTATCGTGCGCGCCGGGAAAATCATGTCGATCAACGGGATCGAGATCCGAGCGCTTCGCGAAAAGGTCGCGGGCGGCCGTTCGTTTGCATAAGTCTCGTGTTCCGCTGGCGAACTCGGTGAACCACGACGAGGAGGTTTTACGTGATCGTCGACACGCTTTCGACGTTGAGAGGCGACGCATTTTCTCGGTCGTATCGTTTTGTTGCATTACCGGCAAGCCGGAGCTATTTGCGATACTGCAAGGAGTGCGAGGAGGAAGAGAGACAAGAGGAGCAAACATCGTCCGCATTCTGAAACGAATGCCAGAATCTTCGGCGACTTAAACGGAGTCAAATTTTTCTTCCTGTCACACAGCTCGTTCGTGCCTGGCGAGGATAGTTTAATAATACGCGGAATGTTTTTGATCGTTACTCCACCCAGTTGTAAATATTTTTATTAATTTTACAAGCAATTTCCTCATATCTTTCTTCTTTCTCTTCCTACAAAATTCATGGATTTATTTTTCTCAATTACAAAGAAAAACCGTTATACTTATTTATTAGAGTGCCATGTAGGAATGATGTAAATTACATTTACGAAATCTAAACTTTTTTCTTAGATATTCATAACGCTTATAATTTGTCTTAATAATAAATATCAATTAAGCTGCTATACTTTCCCATATCATTTCGTAGCAATAGTAAAAGCAATGGCTTGTAATAGCGAAAAGCAATTACTCGGTCTAAGATGTCGCAGTGGCAACGAATAAATCATAAACTTCGCGGCCCCGTTAACAGAGTGGGATAAAGTGAATCCACGCGATCGTTATCGAGGATTGTTGAGGGACCGTTAATTGTAACAAAAGGGGAATTGTACGCCGCGCCGCGCCGCGCCGTTCCCTCGCGAGACTGCGGGACGAGAAAACGGATTACTCCTACTGACCCGCCCTTCGTTTTCATAATCGAGGATCGTGGAAGCTCAGGGTGATTACTTATGAAATGAAGCGGCACCCGATATCGGCGCCCGGCCAAGAGAAGTTTTCTTAATGACCGCGCGAAACGGTCATTAACGATCGTTAGTCGCTCCCGCGAGCATGAATATACTCGGATCGAAATACGTTCTCGCCAATTTGCGTAGCGACGTCCGCACTCCGCGACTTGCAAACGACTTGCAGGGCGCGGGCGTTCCCGCTCACGCGCTCGCATAGATAATTATGCAAACGTTAAGCGACCATAATTATCAAGCTCGCGACTGATATTACGAAATGATATACGCTGTTAAACGTTACAAACGCGACGAGTCGTCGATTTAAGGAGGTGTACAAATGTATATAATTAATGTAGTTACGAGATGGTCGACCAATGAGGGATCTTATTTATCACGAGGACGAGATAAATAATTCCATTTGTGCAAGGTAAAATCTATTTAAACGGCAGAACGGAGGAGTATAATACGTTGCTGCGGTAAATGTCAAAAGCCAGGCGAGGTTTCGCGATATTTCCGCGTTTGCGCCTCCCAAGCTCTCGCCTTTGAAATTTTTCCGTTCCCCCGCACGATACGAAAGAAACAATGGCACCATCCCGCGATGACACATCGGCGGTTATTGCATGCGGATATGAAAGAAGGTGCGCGGGTGCCTACGCGTCCGTCTACGCGCCTGATGTCATCGTGTAACGGATGTGCCGCGGCCACTTCGCTGCTGCGGCCGTCTCGATCGTCGCGGCTTTCCTGCCTTCGGAAACTGTTATTTAGCCAGGACCAAGTCGGTCAACAACGGTTATCGGGTGACGGCACTCCTCGAGCCGGTAGCTTGCGCGCCACCGGGCGCTCAACGAAAGATCTCTCGCTGTTTCCTCGCGCCGCGAGTCTTCGTCGATTTAAACCATCTAAAGATTCTAAACAGATCCGTGCTTTTCGCGCACGTACCGTGTTACGACGTAGACAATCGTTCTGTAAAAAGTTTCTACGGTGAATTCACATCTTATGACATTCGAGACTCGATCTCGTGGGAATTGCAGTTTCAACTCGATTACGTTCGTTTATAAGATAACGCAGAAAAAGTAACGATCTAGATTACTCGCGATCTGGATTATCGCGTTTACTATGCAGACCGTGGTATTTATTTCGTACAACTTTGAAACGGTATGGGAACGCGTAGATTACGGTACGTTGGGTAAGTTAGAAGAAAATGAGACGACTCTCTCGCAAGACTCAGCGGCACTCCTTCGGATTTCTCAATCCGGATGTATCGTCTATTACGAGGGCGTCCCGCTGTGATTCTTCTCTTGTTTCCTCTCACCGCTCGCCAAAGAAGACTGCTAGAAATATCGCTTTATTATCGATCTTTTAAAAATAATGTTTTAAAGCTACTGGATTAATAAAACGAGCGCTGCACGTGTAGCTCGTGTTTACTACTTTCTGTTTATATCTTGTTTATCACTTTATGGCTCTTGATGTTTCAACATCAATTATTATTATTAAAATCGTTGTATAGGCGTTGTATAGGCCTGAACTTTATATAAAATTATTATATAATACGTTTTAATAACGCTGCAGAATATTGCGATCCCAGCATATTGCGATAATTAGCAAAAGCATTTTTGTGAAACGGAATTTTATCCGTGGCATGTAATATCTAGTCTGTATATACGAACAAAAATTCGCGACGCTTCTTCTCTTCTTTACCCTATTATTCGCGGTTCATTGTGCTCCAAACAAAAGAAAATACCCGCATTCTGCACCCGAATAGAAACGGCGCGACTAAAATTTTACGAATGAACGGGTATAATTGCATAGCACTTATCTTAACGAAGTCGTCTTTTCTCTTAATGGAATTCTGGTATCTTCGCCACTTTGTTTTTCCGTACGTTTTCGAATCAAAGAGTTAGACAGTCGTTTGGTCATCCTTGATTGACGGACAAAACATATTCGACAGACGGCACGTGATTTTAGAATCTCGATTTGCGTCTAAATTTGCGATCGCGGATGCTCAAAGCGAACGTCCGAGGAATATCAAGTAGGTCGCGCGTCAATTTTCCGCAGAAATCACCGCAATTTTACCACTCTAGCTCTACTTTGCGGCCGAGATTTACGGTCAGCTGCTCGATCGCCGCTGGAAAACACGTTCTCCGATAATAGCGGGTCGAATGAAGAGGGTGCTTTAACTCTTTGTGACCTTACGTTGCGCTGCACGTGATGTTGTGCTTTATCATGAAAGTTGTATCGTCGTCGTTGTCGTGAGAGATATTTTCGAGCGCTCGCAATTATATACAAACGAGATTACAAACGTGGAATATAAAAAAAGAAGAATTCGAATACACGAGAGAAAGAGAGAGAGAGAGAGAGAGAATAACTAACAGAATTTAAATTAGACGGACTTGAACGCACGCGTGTTACATGAAGTCTGCATCCTACACCCTGCAAAATGCAACGCAGCATGCAAAATGAAGACAAAAGCGTTCAGCGTATGGGTGATTAATAGGCTGGTCGATTTCTCGTTGCTGTTTTTAGAATGCTATGTCCTTTTATACCTCCGTTTCGCGAAATGGCAGGAGTGCCGTTGGCATTGACGAACGACGCGACGGAATTAATCTTCGCTTTACCGTGCCCCGTCCCTTTGGATTCGCGCCCTTCCGCATCGCATGCTCGCACTAGTAGAGCGCCGAATTAAATGTCGATAAATTGCAACTTGCTCGTGAGTAAATCGGCTTAACTGCATCTGTATACAGTCAACGACTTTTTTCTCATAGACGCATCAGATGTTTAAATCCGCGATTTGTAGGAACTTTGGTAGGTATTGTATTTATTTTTTTTTTTGTTTTTTTTTCTTATTTATATCAAGTGCGTTTTCAAACACGCAGTACCTCAAAAATTATATTCAAAATTTTGTACTAAATAAAGATCCAACGTCGTTTAATTTCGAAAAAGGTCACGATTTCCGATTATTTTGCTTAAATACGGTTATTATCGCATTCGATTATGGTGATTTTGTATTCGAATGGATCGTCTCCTTCCAAAGCATTGGAATTAAGCGTCTCTGTCGTCACTCGCTGAGAGTGAAAGCAACCAATTACAAGACTCCGTCAATTAACCATAATTGCCGCGAACGGAGGCGGGGGCAAAGTGGAAGGGGAGCGAAAAATAAATATCGTCGATTACGCGAGGGACGAGTCTATTCTCGGCTCGTGTCGAACGAGAGATCCGGACCATTAGGAAATTGGCTGACTAATAATAGTTCTCTTGCAATGCGAGGACTCGTAACCCGTTACGTAAAGTGATGAACTCCTTAAAGTTCATCTCTTTCTCTCTAAAAACTCGCATACAAAAATATATGTACAAGATGTGCTTATAAGATTATATTTTAATTTCGCTTTTAAATCAGAGAAAGGAGCAACGAAAAAGAGAACGAGAAATTACATAGTTGAATGAATTTCCGATCAACTTGACGACTCTTGATCGTAATCTGCCCACCCATCTATTCTAGCGGGGTTCGTTAACCCCCGTCTGTCGATTAGAGATTAACCTGCAATTTACTTTCTTATTGTCCCCTGCCCCATCGGATTGGATTCACGATATTATCTCGAAGTCGTTATCTCTGATAACGCTTTCGGGACAGGTTGCCGTTTGTCATTCGTCTCGTGCGTTTTCTTGGCGAAGGAAAACAAAGAGGATAGAGGGGTGACGCAGCAACCCTTCGTTCACGTAGAAATCTGCAAAAGTGGCTAGTCGAGTTGAACAAACCCCCTATCGACGGCAACAGCCTTGGGAAGATCTGAACGGGAAAAATGCGGGGAGCATTTCGAGCAAGCCTCCTGAGTCCTGACCGTACGACGGTGATAAATGGTGCAATTTTATGGGCAACCAATGCTCGCCATCTTGGCAAATGCCCCCGGTCCGGCGCGGTTGACCCGCTTAAACTACGAAAATTATTTGCCATAAAACGACAGCGCGCGTCAACCGCACGAACATTGAACAAAAGTCAGAGCCAAGACTTATGAAGAGTCTCCCGCGAGGAGACTCCGTAAAAGGAGATGGATATGAAGAATCTAACAAAGCATGTGCTTGACACGATGCGATGCCCTGTATCGTTTATCCAATGTCCTTCGGTACTTATAGAAGGAGATCACGAATCAAATTTTTATCTCGAAGCGTTTAATGCCAATATCTGGCCAGTTTTTTTTAATTTACCATACAGTACGAAATTAATAGTCGGCCTAAGTTACGGCGGGGGTAAAATTATTCGCAAAGTCCTTCTAAAATGCAAGCGACCCGACGAATAAGGACTGATGTTTCGTTTTTCACGGTGCGTGCACTTTCGCTTGGCAACACCTGGCGAGGAGGAGTATAGTAGTATAGTACACACGGTGACGCGTAATTGCAAGGCCGCGGGTCGGCCGAGTAACCCAGGAGAGGAGGAAGGGGAAGGGATCAATTAATTATTTCTTTATAATCGATCGAGGACGAAGGGCGTAAATCTTCCAATATCCTCGCGCGGATCACTGGCTTGGGCCGCGCTGATTATTAACGCGCGATAACTCATCCGTATTATCGTCCTTACGTGCAGTACCACCACACCGTTCCGTCGACCACCACTATTAACTTGCGCCGTATAATTTATCCGATAAGTCGCACAGTGATTGGTCATCGATGTCGGATATAATTACCGCTACGGGGAGGAGGATCCGGTCAGCGATGACGCGCGTTGCCTTGGAGCAACGAGCGCGTTGCGCTTGTGGAAAATTAATAGGCCAGCGCAGGAAACGGCGGACACGTTTTTCCTTAACGGGCCCGCATTAGACGGTAATTTACGGCTGTTCGAGAGGCCACGATAAATCTTCATTACCGCGAACAACACCGCGAGATTAATCATATTGCTGTCCGTTGTTGAAGAAAGGTCACCTCACCTCACCCCCATGGCGAGGATGTTGCCCGCTCCGTATCGCTGATCGCCTTCACGGTCGATCTCTCTTACAATCGGAGTGCGACTCGGACAATATGATAATACGCAGTCACGCGATACATCCGTCGTCTCTCGAGTGGAGAAAGATACGGTGTGATATAAATAAAAATTTATCCTTCCCGGGGAATCGTGTACTTAATTCGCTCAGACGTCTTTTCTTACGTTACGATTGTCTCAAACGCAACTCGAGATGTTGTAACGTCCACATAAGTTGCTAAAATTTTCTTTAGGAATATCAGCGACGCGACAGACCCGGCTAAAACTTCCGACATACTTTCCTTGATTACATCTCAAGGTCCGATCGCGATCGAGAATAGCAATTGTTCGGCGAAATGATCTATTTTCGTTAATTGGCGGCCGCTCGAGATCCCGCTCCGGATCTTAATTGTCGGAATCACCGGCGAGTTAGCCCGTTACGCATCTTACGCCGACGGTTCCCAATCTCATCCGTGCTCGTTCTGCTCGACAGGGTACGAAGCTGTGGATCATCATGGAGTATCTGGGTGGCGGCTCGGCCCTGGACTTGATGAAGGCCGGTAGCTTCGAGGAGATGCACATTGCCGTGATATTACGCGAGGTGCTCAAAGGGCTGGATTATCTGCACAGCGAGCGTAAGCTCCATCGCGATATTAAAGGTACGCTCAATAAGGCGCGAAGGATGTTTATTGGTACTTTAACGCTCTTCGTACAGAAATATTAAATAATATCGTGTTATTCATTCAATCGATTCAACGATATACCATTTCGCCTAATTAAAATCCGCATGAATTAACTGCATTAACTACGATGCACAATTCTATTAAAAAATAATTCAATGTTCAATCGTTGTTAATTTACGTAGAAATGGACAGAAAATTAAAATTTGTCGGGCGTTAATAGAGCCTTTTATTTAGTTTCGTATTGGTTTAAAAACGAAAGATTAATTCGCATGGACGAATTTTTTTTTGACCTTGCAGCGGCGAATGTTTTGCTGAGCGAAATGGGCGATGTCAAGTTGGCCGACTTCGGTGTAGCCGGTCAGTTGACGAACACCACCAGTAAACGAAATACCTTCGTCGGTACGCCGTTCTGGATGGCACCCGAAGTCATCAAACAGTCTGCTTATGATTCCAAGGTAATTTCATTAATTAAATTCCGCCGTATACCGCGCGCGGTATGCATACCTACAGTGCTGAAAATTAAGTTTATTATAGGTTTATACGCATATTTTGCATCCATGAAAATATCTTCCTGTATTTTCCATTTGCGTGAATATACATTATTATCATTTATTAGTTTTCTTAAATATGATGGTCGTCATCCTCTTTTTCGTTTCTCTTCGCTTTTTCTCTCTTGCTCGCTTCTTCTAAAAATTATCTTCAAAGTGGCGCGGTCACGTTTTCATTAGCGTTTCATTAGCGCTTCATCTGGCAAGTGGTAACTCCGCGAACGCTTGTCCCGTAGGCTGACATTTGGTCCTTGGGCATCACGGCGATCGAGCTGGCGAAAGGAGAGCCACCCAATAGCGAGCTGCATCCCATGAGGGTCCTCTTTCTAATACCCAAGAACAATCCGCCGCAACTGACCGGGAATTACACGAAACAATTCAAGGAGTTCGTCGAAGCCTGCCTCAACAAGGATCCCGAAAACGTGAGTGTACCGTTATATTCATGGCTGTCTGTGTTTCGAGTTATTAATCAATCGCGTCTCGTAGCAGTCGTAGCTTCGGAAATATTTTCAACGAATCGTTCGATGTCTCAATAATAATCACGAAAAAAGTAATGTGAAGGGTAAAAATAGAAAAATTAGTTTAATAAAACAAAAATTTCGACATATAAGAAACATAATCGCGATTTATTTATCGATCATTGCGCTCGTGTCTGTGCAGAGGCCGACGGCGAAGGAACTGCTCAAGTTCCAGTTTATCAGGAAGGCGAAAAAGAACTCGTACCTGATCGACCTGATCGACAGGTACAAAAAGTGGAAGTCGCAGCGCAGCGAGGAGTCGGAGACCGAGAGCGAGAATTCGGACTCGTGAGTATCTCGATTCGCGTTTCTGTCACGCTTCTTACGAAAGTAAAAGCCGCCGCTTGTTATTTTCGTACGTTACGTACATTCAGGATCTTCTCCTTTTTTTCTGTCGCTAATTCCATAATAAATTTATATCTCGAACGTGCAAGAAAATGGAAAACCAGTTCGAGGCCGTTTATCAATTGCGCGGTATAATAGACCACCATCCGAGCGTGGTACTAAATTGTAACACACTGCGTTACACGGTGTTCAGGGAGGAATCCAAGCAAGACAGCGACATGGACGAGCCATGGATAATGACGGTGAAAGGCCCGCATGGGGTCAAAGGATCCGTGGTGCCCATGCTGCCACTGGACGAGCAGCCCGCATCCCTGACCCTAACACACACGAACCACAGGTCCTCCAATCACAGCCAACCGAGTAAACCGCACGCGAACGGCGCCTCGCGATCGCCGCCGAAGGACTCCACGCTTAATCATTACAGAAGCGAGTCCAGGGATTCGTTGCGCGATGGTCAAGCGAAACACACGCCCGTACGTTGCCGTCCCAATAATCGAGTGTGTTACATTTCATGTTCATATTTGTACCCTTTTCTTACTTTCTTCTTTCTTTTGTAGTCCCGACCGCACGAAGCCGCACCTCCACCACCGGTGGACACGAGAGAGAAACGAGATGAGCGAGACTATCGTGACTCCAGCCGAGAATCTACGCTCAGGGAGTCTGAAAAAGAAATGCGCGATATGATCCGCGAGAGGGACAGAGAAGTCGTCAGGGAACGAGAACGGGACAGGGAAAGCAGAGATCGGGATAGAACCAGCAGGGACTTCAACTCCCGGGAGAAGAGAAGAAACAGCAAACCGGACGTGCCCATCACTCCGATGGCTGATCACAGACCTGGCGAAGATAAACAGAGGCCCAGAAGTTCGCAGGAGCTCAAACATCCGCGAAGCGTCGCTTTGTCCGGAGTTGTTTTTCCTCTCCTTTCCGAGGTACTATACATTGAATATAGAATGATGAAAATATGAAAAATGTAAAAAGTAAAAATTAGTGAGATTTTATGGGAATGATCGACGTTTCCAATAATATTACAGCTCCAACGAAAGCACCAATATTCGGCGAGAGACAATAATGGCGAAGGCGGTAGCGGTGGCAAGAATGGCGGTGCTGTAGAAGAACTGCGAAATGCCTTCGAGTCGGCGGAACGCACGTCGCCGGGAATGACAGAATCCCTTATTCGCGAACTGATTAAATCCCTACTCCCACCCAATCATTCAGAAGGGCGCCTATCTATGCTAATGGAGAAGGTTATTTTAAGGTAATATTCTCGTGAGCATACGCACCACCGCGCAATATGTATTTGCGCAAGAGGAACAACGTGCTCTTTTGTTTTAGGGATACGTAGGGACGCGAGAGGACAAAGGTCCGCAAGAGACTGTGGTCCCAGAATATCCTGACGTTGTAAAACCATACGCGTTATTTCTCTCGTCATTATCAATTCACTAAACACTAAACAAAATACGAGCCGAGCATATCGTCAATGAGTGGCGATTCCGAACGTGAACGTGAAGGTGCGAGGGAAATGTGTTCGTTGCCCCATCATCCCATTCCTTCCCCGCTCTTCCCCTCCCGCGCTAATCTATAAAGGCCGCACTACAACGAAGTCTATCGAAGTTTTACAAAGTAGTCTACTGAACCGCCCCATTTTCACCTGCCTACCTCGCCGTAGGATAAAAATACGTAGACAACGGCAGATACTACGCGAAACGTTGTGCCAGCATTCTTGCAGTTCCTACTCGTGTAATTGTCATCGATCCTTTTCTGAACTTCTCAATCGAATTGTCCTACATTTACACGCTTTTCCGTGTCGGCTCGTCGCCCGATAGTTCATTTCAATCACGAATCAATTCATCATTGTGGAATTTGTATATTCTTCGATTTTTTAAAATCTTCTAATTTTAAATATTCAACTTTATAATTTTTGAAGGTAGAAATCACATTCAAAGAGGATATAATATTATATTTTGTTTTATATTAATAAAAAACATGAGCATGATTTAATGAAGACCGACTCATTACTAAAAGTATGTTATTTTTAAAATCTGCTAGATGAACTGTCGGTCAATTTCCTTTTTACTACCTTAGATATTAAATCGTCTTTTATTGCTAATAGATTACGGAGACATTGTAAAGAGGAGTATTCAAAGTATATCGGAGCATTCGGTTTAATAGTAAGTCTTATCTTGAAAAAAAAAGATGACGCTTTAGTGATCTTATGGCAATCAGTTACGAGTAGAGAAAGGCGGAAAATATATGGACGGCAGTGCGTTTGCGAAAAGGCTGAATCGAAACCTCCATTATGTGATAGCCTAATAAATATCTTAAACCTTCTTCATGTTCGGCGTGAACATCGATCGATACGACAACAAAATAAAATTGTACAGACTCGGCAAAACGGATAGATGAAAAGCATTCGATGACTTGGTCTTGCCTCAATATAGATATGTCCGTAGCATGCACTAGCGAGATATCTCGAGCAAAACACGATCTGTATAAGGAAAAACTTGTAATTCTTTAAAAACGGTACTTTTATTGATATTTTTACAGAGAGGATATGTATTTAATAGTGCGTTCTGAAGAAAGGTCTCGTAGTGGTCAAGCAACAAAAAATAAAAAGAAGATGTGTTCTTTGAGTAGATTTCTTCCCGTGGCTTCCTAGTGCATGTTTCGAACACGAAAGAAGAAAGCTCTAGCGCGCGATGCTAGAGGAATTGTAAATATGTATGTAGCGCGATAAGATAGTCTTATTGTTCTGATCGACGTCTTTGCCAAACCGGTCGCACAGCTCCGTTAAACGATCTTGTTACGAAGAGAAAAAGAATTCCTTTCCCTTCCCATGGTCACATCGTTCGTCATTGAAAAAGATGATAGACGTAGGCTATAGGCAATATTGCCGTTGCAAATTTATCGAGGGCTTTTATCGTTTTGTGTAGTTTTCGCTTGTTGCGTAAAAATTGCAGATAAGCCGTTACAGTGTTTCAGAAACCGTACGCGACGTATATAATAGCGTTTAAAAATATATATAATTAATTTCTAGTTGTGTGTAAAACCCACTTGAAAATCGTCGAGAAACAATGCTATTTTAGAACTCTTATCATCTCCAGTATACGTACATCTATGAAAGACGCTTCGATCTTTCCACATCGCGCTTTAAAATATCGCATTACGTCATTAACTTAGAGTAACAATAGAGTCGTTCCACGTTAACGTGTCGTTAAACTGTCTGTACAGCATTACCGAATTGTGAAACGCAATTCGATAGTTCAAACGAGAAAGAGAGACGTCGGGATAAAAGCGCCTTTTATAAAAGTTTCAATTCTTCGAGAATACAATAGTTGACGTGGAACAACTCGACAATCGATTTAGACGGAATTTACCACACGATAAGGTACGAGAAGAGTTTCTTGAACTTTGAACGCGTGGTACGTTCGAACAGCGATGACCGGATACATATATATATAATACATATATATGTATACATATAAATTAATATATATAATGTTAAATTATATATATACATATATATTGCGTGGAATTTGAGTACTGCCGTTCTTCCAGACTTAACTTGCGTTGTACACACGAGTATTTCTCGAATTCACCGCACTTGATTTTCACGATCGAGTCTGAGCTGCGATGACTCTCGCGCAGGGCGTCGACACTTAATCCAACGTTGTTTGTAAACTAATGTATTTTATAAAATATATATATATAGAGAGAGAAAAAGAAATTCCACACATACAACACACAATACACACACACCACACACACATGCGTAAAAAATAGAGAGTTATATTAGAGGATATCGTCTATGGGATGGTCGGAGAAATCTCGCTCTTCCGACGGAATACAAGGACCATCCTGCAAACAGTGATTTAAAGGAAGATACAAAAGGGTGATAGAGCAAGAGTGAGAAAGAAGAGGGGCGAATTTGTAAACGAGGATACGTCAATTAACGGCAGAAAGCGAAAAGTAAAATGGTAAAGAGACTTAATTACGTTACCCAGCTATGATTATTGTATTAATCTACGATTTGGTTGTTTTTCTTTTCCTTTTTTAAATTTAGTTTGTTCTTTATTTAGATAACTATGTTTACCGAAAAACGAAAAAGTGGATATTATAAAAATATTTGCTCTATACCACCGCCTTTTCCTTTTTCTCCGTTTTGTTTCTCTATCGCCCGTCTAGATGGGGAATAAGTCAGACTACACGATATGTATCGATTTTATTTTTAGTTGAGTTACGTTTATTATTCATTTACATTGTATTGTTAATGGTCATTTTATGTCAACTGATCAAACGATTTTTTTCGGTCTTAAGCTATGAAAAAGATTTAGCGGCAATCGAAAAAAACCGCTTGACAAAGCTCGACATGATTTGATTCTCATGAACCATTGTTGTTTCCCTCGCGTTTCGAATTAAGTTTTCTGGTCTTTACGACGATCGCTACCGTGAGTAGACCTCATAACGCTGCCATAAATGCTTACCGGTTACATCTACTCGCGTACGAAGGTGTATCCGTGCGAAAGAGTTCGAAAGAGGAGACTTAGCTAAGTAGGCTGTGTAAGCAGTATGCTTGTTAAAAAGAATTATTAGGTCATCCGCGGAGTAGCGATCGATTTTACGTCCAACAATCATTCGTTTTACGGAGAACGTCTGTTCCCCCTGATGGCCGTCTTCAGTCACAACGGCCACTGTTGTATATGCTGACCATATGTACGAAACTATCGTCTAAGTCTAAGAGTATTAATCCGCCAGCGACAAGATTGGACGAAAACCGCATCTCCGCAACGCGCAAGGCGCTTAACATTTATATATTTCAATATATTTCTTCTCATATTTAAATAAATTTATTCAATTTTCTACTTCTGCCGGAATGTCCAACGTTACCACTGGCGGATATTTTTCATTTCACCACTCCCAGCATTAAGCGTATCTACAAACGGGATTCAAAATCTTGTAATTTATTTTATCGGGATGAAATCAAGTTTGTTTTAATTTCTTTTTATTTTTTCGTTCGGCCGAAGAAGTTTCAACGCGTGTCAGTCGAATGGACTTGTGCTCGGAGTGCGACAAGGTATAATACGGAGAATTGGGATGCGATCAGATCGTTTTTGAGAACGTTCGCGGGGAGAGATTCCCGAAAGTTCACGATCGAATGTTTTTACGCTGCCGGCTAAGAAATGCCTGATCTTTCGACGAATACCGTTTCGCGCGTACTAAACGCTGAACTGTTCTGTTTCTCTGCGTATGTAGATTACGAACGGATATGTAACGGCGCCGAACTGTGATTGTCGATTCTTCGAAAGCTCGTTCCTTCCCCTTTAGTTTATATGGTTGCTCGAGAGCGTGAGTTTTTATTCAGTCGAGATAGGTGATCAGAGAGACAGGATCGGCAAGCGCGCGAGATCGTTTTGCTCACGATCCGCGAACCACACCACATTCAAACCGAATTACGAGTCCTACCGTAAAAGAGTCCCCCATAGCACTCTTCTTTGTATTATACTCTTAGCTGCTACCCATCTATATATATTCAGCGTTAAAAAACACATCGTGGTAACAATAACGTCTCTCGGCGCGCGCGTAGAGAGTATACATATATATAAATATATATATTATATATATATATATAAAATATATAAATATATATATTTTTTGTATTTTACTTCTACCTCTTCTCTCTTTCTTCTTCTCTTTCCTCTCTGCTCTCCTTCCTCTCTCTCTTTCTCTCTCTTATCTCTCTTGGCTGCGTTGGATTGTATTATATTGACTGTATGTGGCATGCTGAGGGCGTGTACAAATACGAAATAAAGATGAAGTAAATCACGATGTGTGTGGTGAGTATTTCCTTAATCGATTTCATCAAAAACATTACGTGGCCCAGGATAATTCCAAGATGGATTCGTAGACCGATAATCGCATTAAGAGCACACGGAAAAGGATTCTAATTCTATCATTTTTTAATTTTTGAACGCCATCGCTACGATCAAATGTCAAATCAATTTATAATATTTTTATAAAGTCTTAACGCCGGCGCTTCCTGGCGACAACGGCGACGTGACGACCGTCCGAAGAGCGCAGGTCCGCGCATCGAATGGTCCACGAGGTCGGGAGAGACGCGGAGGGCGTAGCGATTCTCTCGACGCGTCTCTCGTCTCTCTCTACGTGCAGTAGTCGACAACATCCCGCGATTCCCGCGGGTGGTCGCGATCGAAGTACCAGAAGCGGGAGGGCCGACGAGGGTGTCCGCTCTCTCTTTCTCCTCCCTCTCTCTCTCTCTCTCTCTCTTTCTCTCTCTTACTCTCTGATTCTCTTTTTCCCTCTCTTTGTTTATTTTTATATCTATCCCTCACTCTTCAGCATATCTCCGCTTCTTCCGGAGAAAAGAGACATATATATAAGAAAATGCACCCTGCCCGTGTGAGAGGATTGTTCGTAGCTCTTTCAAGAGACGGAGAGAAACAAAGAGAGAGAAACGGAGAGTTCTCGTCTCGCGCGACGCCTTTTATACGTGTATAAATAGAGCGGGGCACACCTCTCTCGGCGACGAAGAGGATTCCGGACGTGCTCCGGAAACGTCCCCGCGCGGTCGATTCGCGGTTACTCACGACAGTGTTTACGGTATATCGCGGAGTGATCGTGCCCAAGAAGATCCGTGTCTCACCGGGGACTCGGGGACAGTCCTCCTCCCGAGGGAGGGCGTCTCACTTCTCACCCTCGCGAGCTGCCAATCTCCGTCAACGGGACCCAGCAGCGAAGTGCAGCATCCCTCGATCCCTCGTCGCGCCGCGACAGGATATCGCGAAGTGCGCCGTCAAGATGTACTGATGTATGTATCTCGAGAGGGATCCGCGTCGCTCGTCCGTCGGCGTCGCTCGTCCGTCGGCGTCGCAACGCAACGGCGGCGCCGACCAGACGCGCTCGTCGACAAGAGACATTGCCTCGTCGTTCCTCCTTAATTCCTACAGCATCTCAATACAATCAAGTAATTTCCTGATCTCGCGTATTCCGGACGTTTACCGTATATGTTCATTGAGTGTGTGTGTATATATATATTTCGCGTCGCGCGTTGCATTGTACTCGTTGCTTCGCATTATCAATGCCGGTATCAGCATCGAAAAGGGATAGATGTTTTCTGAATAAAGTCGCGTCTCCAGCTACAGGAAATATCACAGGCTCGCGTTGCTAGCGACGGCGATGCTGCTTCCAGCACGCGCCACCGGTTAACAATACCGCACAGACAACAACGCGGGGCGTTTACGCGTATGAAATATCGGAATTCTCCTTAGAGCTTTCAGCTCTCTCATGCCATGTAAACGTTATCACGCCTAGTGCATTTGTGCTTTCAATCGGAATTATTTAGATACTCTCTATTATACTCGTTTCTTCCAAAGCAACATTTTCATTCTATCTCCCTCGCGATCAATTCTCTTAATTGCTTCGCTACCACGCCCATTATCGCATCTAGGGCTTCAATCGCTTATCGCCCGGATATTCGTTAACTGGTAGGGAAAGGCCCTCCTTCGTCCCATCGTTTAAATTGATGCGCGGTGACATATTTACCGAATTTCTATTCACTGTTTCCGCTCGGGTGCCAAAATATGGGAGCAGAACAAGCGACTCCCAGAGGTACCTACGCGACTAGGCGCGCGTGCCTAATCGTCACGCGCGTATCGCGAAGCACGTGTTCCACGCACGGTATATTTATTTCTGTGCCACGGGGTCCGCAGTCCGCAGAATTCCTCCCCGTCGCGTCGCAGCTTTCCGCGGTCGAATTCAGCGCGGTCTTTAAAGCTATTACGGCACTATATGATAATGAAGAAGAGTTTCTCGGCGATCGCGCGCGACCGAGGATGATCGATGAGCAGATAATGGATTTATTCACGGTACATTTCGCTCTTACGCGACAGAGAAAGAGAAATTTCTGAACGAGGGGATGCTTCGATGAAAACCAGCGGATCGATTAAAGAAAAATTTGACCTCACATCCGGTATCGTTGATCTCTCGCGGATAATTTGTTTCTGTGTCGAAGTAATATACCCCGGTGCTCTCTCCGGATTTCGTGCGTATATCGATACGATGATATCTCTCTCGAGCTCGCGTTTCCACATAGCAGACTCTCACGAAACGACATAAGCTACTCCGTTAGAAGCGAAAGCTCGGTATTTGCACTTTAATAAGCGAGATAACGGGGCCACGTTCTTCCGGGGAGGACTCTCCGTGCAATACACAAGACGGATTCGTGTAATTGTACGTGGAGAAAGAAAATTCGTAGTATTAGGTACGTGTGCTCGCCAAGTGCCGTTTCCACGACGAGGAACGTGAACGGTCCGTCCGTTAGAACATTCAACGGAGAGGAGAAGTAAATAACGCGTCAAAACGTAGAAAATGTCTGGCGGCGATTTAAAAGCTTTTCTATCAAGTACACCGCGATAATCCAATACTATCCACTGCTATCTCTGCATTTTCCACCCAGAAGGAATCCTAAAAATGATAGATGGATAGTGACGAAGAAAATATACATCTTTCACGGCAAAACGTTTGCACCGCGCAAATTTATCTGTAATGTGATAAGGAAGATGTTCGCATGAATAAATTCCATGTATCTCTTTCTAAGTTTAGCGAGCCACTCAATTTTTTCAGACTGACTTCTTTTTCTTTACGAGAAACTTGATCGATATCAAATATTCGCCGCTCGTCTCTATATAAATTTTCAAAAATTATGGACAAACGTTGCCCATTTTTTAATCATTTTTCATAGCCCATTTGTACATTTTGTCCCTAAAAAATCCTGAGAAATCCTGAGAAGAAAAGAGCGAGGGATATACGCCGTGTAAACTTCGTATCACCGCGGACGATACATTCGCCTCCCGGAGTCCGCGCGCGTAACCCTCTCTCCCTCTCCCTCTTTCTTTCTCTGTCCGCTAAAGCGTAACACTCATCGGCACACGCCAGGTAGCTGCGCTTTAATTACACATTTTTCTTCACCGCTCCAAAAAGCCACCGATGTGTAATAGAGCCGGCGCGGGGCTCCTCCCGTCATGCGCGCGCGCGGTTTTACGCGCGCGGCCGGAGCGGAGCAGAGCGGAGTGTGGCAGTGAATCCCAGCGACGCGCGAAGCGCGGACGTGTCCAACGTTCCTACGTTTTGTTAGCCGGCTGGACGTTTATACGGAATTTTGTTTTTTAATTCAGCGTTCACGCGACTCTAATATTTCGATCAACGTGGATCGACGGTTAGCCAATTTACTCCCTGCCTTTCTCCAATCTTATCGTACGTAGTGTACGCATGGTGTGCTCTCGCAGTGTTTACATATATACATACATCTCTCTCTCTGGGAAACTTTAAAGTTCTTCTAATTCAACGCGCGCGTATCTCACGGCTAATTTTGACCGACGTTGACGGATACCGGCGGTTGTTCCATCTCTAACACGCTTTCGTTTCAATTTTACTTCCGCGTTACGTTTCGCGCTCGACGCACAAGATGCAAAAAAGGCGATGTAGATGCCCGAGCTATTGTACGCGGCCAGTACTAAAAATACACGTCAAAGCATAACGGGTATATCCTTCTCTCGTCACGATCCGACGACTCGACGGTTTTTACTCCTTGAAACCGTCGTCGGACGATTCTCTCGAGATGCTCCGCGATAAAGGCCAGGTCCGATAAAGAGCGGCGCGTCATTCTCACGTAAGTGTCATCGTTTGTGTCCTTCGCTCGTTGCGTAGTTTCCGGCCCGTGCCGTGCCGTGCACGAGCGCGGGACGACCGACGCCTCTCGGGATTCTCGCCCACGTCGCGCGTCGCCTCGCGATAGGTACTCGCAATGCTCCCGATGGTCTCCTCCTCGGTCTCCTCCCGTCGGCGGCGTCGCGGCGTCCGCGTTGCACGGACTTAATATAGTTAATATCTCGTCGACTTAGGTTCGCACATCAGCATCCCTTCGCCGACGAACAGGCCGTTTCGCCCGAGGCCCGGTGGTGTCAAACAGCGGCGAGAGCGCGCGAGCACGCGTAATAAACTCGTTTCTTCACGCTGTAATGCCCCACACTCGGCAACGAGACCCCGCGGAAGCCTACTCGCGTTAATTACCTCTCTTTCTCTCCCTCACGGCTGGAAGATAATTCCCCGCGAATCTCGCGTCACGTTACATCAGCGTTTTCTTCACACCTATCGAGCTACCGAACTATAGTACCGTTTTCTAAACATCATAACATGAGAACGGGATTCTTTTTTTAGATTTTGCGATGGAACGTGAGCGCTAATGCGAAGTGAGATTTGGGACTCGTCGTCTTCGTGTCGTGTCGCGAGTTTTAAATTCTTCTTCACCTCGTGGCTCAAGCTTTGTATCAGCAAAGGAAGCGAGAGGAAGAAGGAGAGACTCGAGAACGTCGTAAAGCGCGTCCCGGATTAAAACCACCGTGTCGACAGCTCATGATACAATCGCGCGGCACAATATCTTCCTCTATATAAACGACTTTTTAGACATTCTCCGCACCACGGACAAACGCTCGCTTCAACGATGTTGCATTGCACAGAGACGCTCCTCCGAATTAAATGCCGCCGTAAAAAATGACCTTGGCGAGAAAAAACTTGCCTCTCTTCCTTTCTCACTTCTTTTCGCCGTTCTACCTCGACTGTGTTATCTCGATGACGCAATTAAAAAAAGCGGCCTGTTCGATTTCCAAGCAGAGATAGCGCGAAGCTGTAGCGTCGACACGAGAATTCCGATAAGTCATTTTCTAATTTTCAATTAAACGCAACTGAACCAGAAGAGTTAGATCTTTAGGCAAGCACGCTGTCTAAAATTTAAGAGAAAGGGACTTTGCGCAAAGTCCAGTTAAGAATCGAAAATAAGAACGTATGTAGACTGAATTGGAAAAAAAACATCGCGAACGTAGCTTGCAAATCACGAGATTCCCCGATCTTATTCTCGAGGCAAACTAGTCACGTATTTGAATGTCAATTCCACGACGTAACATTTGCATTCGCACGAAGAGGAAAAAAACGCGGAAGCGCATTCCATCGCGCTGAACGATAATTCCGCTCGCGCGTGCCCGTGCCGCGGTTGGTTAGCGCGATAATTAAGCTTACGATCCAATTCCGGCGTGTCGGCGACCTTCCTCTTCCGTTTGGTCACAGAGAAATCCGACGGTGGAGTCACGTTGACGTCAAGCTGAAGGGAAATGTGCGCGTCCTCGCGGATAAATTTAGCCCTTTACCGTGCGATTTTAGGGGCGTCACTCCCTCTGACCTTTCCGAATGAACGACGACTGTGCCGCGAAATATTTCTGGGACGGCAGAGAAGCTGAGAATTGGGACAGACGTGATCGAGTGGAGTTTCCGAGAAAAAGTTCGAGGGCTACGAAAAGGACAGTCGGTAGCATTTCCAACTTCCAAGCAATCGTCTCGATTATCCTGGAAGTTGGATTAAACGAAACTCGCGCGATTTCCTCGCGCCCACCGTTTTTCAATCAAATAAAACGCAAACGTTCCGAGCGCGATAACGTGATAACGCTTTTCAAAAAATCGCTCAGATGTAAACGTCAAAATATAGGTCACCGATCAAATGCGCGATCGAGCGAGATTTCCCGGCGCCCTGTTCGAAGCGGCATTAATGAAGACGAAGAGAAGAAAATCTCGGTAACGCAACGAAAAGTTTTGCTTGAAAAATTTCGAGAAGCACGTAATCGCGCGTTCTTCTCGAGTCTAGAGACATGCGATGTGAGATCCACTCGGTCGCGTGAGATCCACGATCCACCCCACCACATGAGGGACACCGTCGTCGCCGTCGCCGTCGCTCGAAATTAATTCGATCGGCGTCGATTGACTCGCGTTATTCGTTGTGGCACGTTGCGATATAGGTCGGACGGACGGACATTGTTACGTGACGTACAAGGCCGCGGTGGAAGCTGCGCTAGATGAGGAAATGAAACGAGGGAGAAAAGAGAGACGTGACGGACGTTACGCGTGAATAGTCGCATTCGCGGCGCGGCTAAACAGCGGCTTTAGCGGGATATCCAATATAGATACATCCGAGCTCGATTTTTCAATCGAAAAACGATACTCGCACGCGCGGAAACATTATAATTAAAGCGCGTCCACTCGCGTTTACGCGTGTGAAATTATGTAATGTAAAGTTACGTGATGTAATTACGTGTGTTATTAAAACAACGCGTTTTTTTGCGCCAGGAAATCGCGAGCACCGCCGGATAAGAGCAGATAACTCAACAATTCTATTTATCTCTTAATGTAGATCTTTCTACAAGGATTAAAATCTATCTACGAAGATTTTGTATAGCCGATACAGTCTGCGCGATGTCTGTTTTTAAAATATCATCTCGTCTTATTAAATCTTATGCACGATTTTTATGTATCCAGGAGATTGGTGCGTCGTAAAGTAATTTTATACGAGCGTGCTAGCGCGTCATCGAATCGATCTTATCAATTCATTTCCGTTCTCACTTTCCCGAGAAACTGATACACGATGGGAACGATTTGAGTGTCGATGTACATGTGCCAGCCCGGAGGCGGAAAGAGGAGCGTTACAGTTCGCGAGTGTTCAGTGCGATTCTCCGAGCCGGTTTTTCTTCTCTTTCGAAGAAGATAGGCGACGTGTGGCGGCAGAAACGGAAGAGGCCGCGAGTGAAACGACATGGTCCAGAAACGTTAATTTCGGAAACCAAACGGCGGAGATCTCGCGACGCGACCCGCGCGCGCGATCTCTCGCCGCATGCGTACGCGCACGCATACGCACGCGTGAGCAATTCAATTAAGGAAGCGCGGGCGTGCGTGCCCGCTCGCTCGCGTGCGCTCGAGCCCGATCGCGCAGCGAGATTAATTTACACGTTGTACTCCTCCCCGTGGGATGAATGAACGTGACCCACACATTTCTTCCTCCCGCCCGGGTCGCGACGCCGAGACAAGAAGAAGGAAGAAGAGGGGGGGAACAGATAGAGAGAGAAGGAGACAAGGAGAGCGAAGGATCGAAGAGACGAGCGCGGAGCGGGTTGCGCTCGTGTGAATCGAGCGCTTTAAAGCGTTCGCGCGCGCCCCGATAAGGCCCGCCCGTCGCGATATCGAGCACCGAGGCCACCGAGGAAATCCCGAAAATTCGCGATCTCTTTCTTCCCACACCACGAGAATCGAATCTACGACTGCCAGACGTACGTCGAGATCCGCGTTATATTACAGCGCGTGTTGCGCACGCGACCGATGTGTCATCACGCATCGAGGAAGTGAACGAGGAAAACAACGACGTGTTGCGCGCCGATCGTCCGAAGATCATTCGGAAAGATCGCAGCGCATCGTGATAATCCTCGCGCCTTTTCTACTGTTAACGGTACAAGTGCGGTACAATACATAGATTTCCGATCTTATACTCGCGGCTGCTTTGTTTACGCGCGAGGGGGTTGAGCGTATCGGCGCCTGTCGTTCTCCAATTGTCCGCAATTACGGCGCGGAAGTATTCCGCGATTTCACGAATGAGATAGTAAAATCGCCGCTGAGAAAAAGAGGAGGAAGAGACGAGAGGAGACGAGAGAGAGCGAGAAGAGATGTGCCGAGGGCATCTGCTCAAACGTGACACACGCCAGCGATTTCTCCCCTTCCCCCTCCCGCGATGCGGATAGATGCGACGTGGGAGGATCGTTATCGGGCGGACAATAAGGTCGAGAGCAATTGAACTCTCGGCGCGGCGTCGGTGGATTTCGCCGTTGATCCAGAAGAACGGACGACGTCGTCGCCTTCCGTCGATCATGGAAAGGAAGAGCGGAGGAGAGGCGCGGCCGAAGATCGAGATCGTGCGGGTCTCGTCCATCGAGCGCAGCAACTTCCGGCCGCTGGACGGGGTGCAGCTACGCGCGACCTACAGCCACGTGCGAGTAGGTACTTACTGCCCGGAACCGGAACCCGCGGCCGGCGGACCGACCGAAAATAAGCCGCCGATCGAGCAGACGCGACGCTTCAAGAAGTGAGTGACTTTCGTCGCACCTCCTCGATCGATATTAACTTTTAATTGCGAGAAACGGACGCGGAATATTTTGTTATCGTGACGGGACACAATCAGCTTCGCGGAGATAACAGCCTACCGCGCGGCCAATCGATAACGCCGATTTTTTTGTTTTTTTTTTATCGTGCCTTGTATCGTTACCTTGCGCCGTATTTAATAAGTTATAAGTAGGTAGTAAATATCGTTTATTTTCTTTCTTGCTTGGCGATGCACGAAATAGAACGACTTGAAAAGTGCTGTAATATGCTTTGCAGAAATTTGGGACCAGTATCAAGACTGCTGAGACGTCGTCATCACGCGACATGCCTTGCCACCAAATCCTGTGATAACATTTATAGCGTGAATAGGAATAGTAATTCTCTGGACTGGAGAGTCAACCAGAACGCCAACGAACAAGGTAATTCATTAACTGTGACTCATCGCGTCGTTAGCAAACTGAAGAACTCGGCACTGCCACTCAATTGCGACTTCTTCATAATATGTGTTTCTTTTAATCTTATTATACATATAGACACGTACAATTTGTTTTATATTTTCATATTTGAGAATTTTCTTCCTTATATAACTCTTATTGTAGATGTAAATCTGCTTTTAAAAAAATTGTTTTTATTTAAACGTATATTTGACGCGAGATGTTATCGCATCTCTCGATCGATGATTTTACTTTTTATTTAATTCGTATTCGCACTCATCCTTTATACGAGGAAAAAATATTTGTTAAATTAAATTTAATTCAATTAAATAGATTGAATGAAATTAGTTAAATAAGTAAAATATTTTCGTGGTTTCTGAGGAAAATATAGATGCATCTTGTGTACAAGGTCGATCGTCGCACGTGAACCGAAATTGAGCCGAAAGTTCGCGATTACCTTTCAAAGCTTCGATCATCTTTCGTTCCGTTCCTTCTCAGATCTGCAAGCCAGACAGAGCAGCAGCCTAGACTGGAGAGTAGGAAGGTCCGTCACTTTCAGCTCCAACCGACTCCATTGGGGAAACGCGACGCGAAGCGCCGAGCAGCTTTCCAGGAGCGCGCCTCTCACTTCCGATCATCTTCAGACACCGAGCACGAGGTATGCTAATCCACGCCGATGCACCTCGCGCGCAGATCCGTTTCGCGCACGCAACGAAAGCAAATAATTTATGACAAGCTCGCCCGAGAGCGCGGCCGCCGAGCAAAAAAGTATAACGGTAGACTTTTGCGAGTCGAGAAGAAATCAGTAGGCGGTAATAACGGGAGGAGGGCGGGGGAGGTTTAGCGAGAGGCGAATCGCGATAACGTTGTGTACACGCAGCGAGGATACCGAGAAAACGCCGTATTCGAGCTACGTTACATTGAAAACGGCAATTAATTTGCTGAAAAACAAAGAGCGGGTAACGACGTTCGCTCGGAAGACATGCGATGGGAATGTAAAACTCGGCGGAAATGCAGTTCGCCGCGGAAAAAGATGATTAATTGATTACACTTTTGCGAAATAATTGGCAAAGACTGAAAAAACTGCGCGGCATACAGTAGATTCCGTTTATTCTAGGATTCAAGATACAATAAAAATATTGACGCACTAAAAAACGCTTAATAAAAAATCTTCGATCTTATACGCAAAGTTAGAAAGAGAAAAGGAGACGTTTGATAACTTTCTTATCATCTACAAATCGTTTTCATTCTATATACAATTACACATGTTTCTCTTGTTGCTCTTTCTGTTACTGCATATTGCCGGAAAATGAATGACAAACGTGTCGCTTTAGATCGAAACTTGTGTCGCTATTGAGACGACTCTCTCCACGCCTGTCCCGTCCCGGAAGCAAGGGCTCGCTGCAATCGTCGCCGACGATTTGTCCCTGGGTCCAAGTCGAGTACTCGACAGAATCGATCGAGGGCGGCAAGCGAGAGGAGTCGCAGGAGAACGATGCCAGCTTCCAGCAGGAATTGCAGTTGAACGAGCTGCGGAAACGGATGGCCGTGATTGCCTCCACGTCCCAGGTGATTGGTAATCTGCGTAAACGTTCCGTTCTGTCTCGTCTCGTCTCGTGCAATAATCGATAGTTGTCTAATTACGAATTAGTCGTCTCATAAGCACTAAAGAAAAGTTATTGTATTCGCGCTGATGATCGATTACAGACAAATGGACGTGCAAATACGTGATAATGATAAATTTTGTGCATAAATACATTGCACATACGTGCCAAAAAGTGAAGACGTAATAATCTTAATAATCATTCAATAATAATAACCAATAATTTAATAATGTTAAAAAATTTGTCTTTAGCATGGCCCTATGAGAGGCAAAAAGACAATTTTTATCGTCCGATCTTCTTCTCGTAGTAGTTAAGCAACGATCAATCAAACGAACGAATTTACGATCGCTTAAAGAATGCCCGATTAGGTCACCCGGAACGGAGCTACATCGGAGGTGCGCCCATTAATAGCTTCCGGCGCGATCGCCCGAAATAGAATACGACGCGGGAGGAAAAACGAATACGAACGGCGAATAAACTCCCCATTCAATTCGTCGGACGACTAAACTTTCGCAACGCGCCCTTAAGCCATTCACCCCGATTCGCGCCAAGTTACAATCTCGCCGCGTCGTCACGATTTTCGCACTAAAACGGGTTTTATTACGTTCGTTCATTCAGGTCACGACGAAGTCCGCTACCAAGGATGACACAAGGCAACAGAGTCTACCGCGACCCAGGATTCAAGTGCAGGAACCCGAAACCGAATGTAACCACCGGAACGTCCGCACAGCGTAAGCCTTTACTCTTCTCTCGATCTTTCTTCTTTCTTCCCCTCCTCTCCTCTGCAACCAACTAGACGTGCAATGGGACACTTTGTCTCACCGGTATAATAGAATCGCGTCGATTCTCGCAAAACGACGAAGCGGGCGCGTCGTTTTCTCGTCTCGCACGCGAATCGCAATGTCCAACTTTTACGCGCGTTTCATGCTCCAAGAATGGGCGAGAGAAAAGTTTCCGGACAGCACGTTCGAAATGCGAATTTACCGAGGGAGACTTTTCTTTCGAGCATTCAGTGCAAATTCCTCGCTGTACCCACATCAACCTCACACGACTGCATGAACCTCACGTTTGCTGTGATTCTCGCAAATGAAACGAAGGATTTTCTTTTATGTCATGTATATACCGCATCCAATAAACAATTGTGTGTATGTTTCCTGCATTGTAATCTTAATCTCCACCTTAGCAAAATCACCGCAAAACTTTTGGAACTTAAAAGCACATGAATCGCTAACGTATCGATGATTTCTTGAACGCGTAACACGATACCTGTTAAAAAAATTCTTTCCTAGGAATTAAAAAGAAATATTTTCTATGACTGGAATATATCTGTACTTATACCGAGATTTCTCGTTTGATGTCGCAAATAAGAATTATTCTCGAGATACTTAATTTCACAAACATTTCTTCGCATACGTATCGTTACCGCATTCAATATGTTTTTCGTTAAAGAACAAAAATGAGATATTCGCTCTAATATGATAATAAATTTATAAAAATACAGATATTATATTTAATTCGCGAAACAAATCGATCAGAGAACATTTAAAGTGCATCAATCGCTAAAAGGATAATTCGTCATATGTTAACAATTTTATAAAACGATTTATTTTTCTTTTTTTTAATATTTGTCAATGAAACAATTCATATATGATTATGAAAATATTTTTCATGACGTACACATGATTTTTATGTACACTGTCTTATACATTTGGTTCTGAATATTAGAAATATTTTTTTAATATTTTAATATTTTCTCGTGAAACATTTCTATCATCTATTTCTATCGTCCTTCTTTATACATTTTCTTTAAGAGTATTATCAATCGCTTAAATTAGCAGCTTTCATAACAATTTATGCGTGCGTGCGCGTCTTTCGTATGTTTCTCTTTAATAAGAAAAATTGCGGAGAGATTGACGATCTGCGTTCGCGCGCGCGATGAACATTGGTGAATTAATTAAAATAAAAATATTATATTTAAAGGGAAAATATTTCATTCGTAAAGAGGATATTGCTCGTCTTTATACAATTAATCCGAGAATATTTTAGTCAGAAAACCAACAGTTACGTCAGACTTGAAACACGAATCTTTTCTTTTCTTTCTTTTTTAATCTCTTTCTGCAGAATGATATTGATTTAACCAAAGAATTGTGCTAAACTACTTGTAATATGAACATATGAAAGTATACGAATAGCCATCGTACAAATGATTCAGGTATTTTTGAAGACGAGATATCAAGACTGATCTATAGACTAGACATAAATGATTATTCCGCATCGGAACCTGTATTAGAACACCTCCGTGCTCACTGACATCCACATAATCTATCGTGTCTTCCGTCTTCGGTTTGCCTTTGGCATCTTCGGCATGGAACTGTATTATCACGTCAAGCTGGAACTCGTCATCCCCACTGGCGGAATCATCTTCGCTAGCCGGTGTATCGCTACGAAACAACTTCTCGTCTGGAGACGAAGAAATTTCACCCATGTCATGCTCGTGCTTACTCGAAACCTGCATGCCAACATCTGATTGGCTGTCAAGCCACCTGGCCACCTTTTTCTTATCAGGCAAATTTGCTGGGGAAGGGGAATCGCTGATCCGTTCCCTTTTCAACTCTCGACGCGTTCCATTTGCGTCCAGGTTGATCTCGCCAGTCGAGAAACCCGAAGTCGACGCACGCGCCGATGCTGCAGCATCATCGGCACTCACGTCGTCGTCATGCTGATCAAGCTCTATTGACTCGTCTGAAGCATCTTGAAATAGCAATCTGTCGTATAGCAACGTGTAACAGCCCGATGACCATCTCTGTAACTCCAGCGTCATCTTAAGTCCCTTGATCTCGTCGGGCACCAGCTCGAGCCCTGTATATTTATTTAGCAACAATTGAATGAAGAAGATAGATTTAAATAGATGACAGAAATCTTTTAATAGCTTCGGTAAGGTTTGCTCGTCAGCTATCTCGTAGTGACGCATATCCGGTGGGCCGATCATTCGCCAGCTGATATCCCGCGACGTCAAATCATTCGCAATTCGCTGATACACAGATTCCTTCAAGAAACCTTTAAGAAACGTGTAAGACGACGTCTCGACTTCCTCTTGAATTTGTACCATTATGTTGGGCGTCAGGTACGCGTCGGAAATCCAGGAGTGCAAGTCCACTTCGATAGAGTTGGTTGGCACGAAAGTCACCTCCGGCTCGCGTCTCAGCGGGAACGTCTGTTTTAACGGGCCGTGAAACCAACCATTGATCGACCACCTGCACTTGTCGCTCGTCACCTCGGCTACTTGATGATAGGACGTGTCCACCACTTCGAAGAACACGAGAGAGTTATATTCGGGGATTAATGATTTCATCGTCTTCCTGGGCGAGCCGTCCTCATCCGTGTCGAAAAGATCTAAAGCGCCGCCATCCTCCTTCGACCACGTCTCGGTCAGGTAAAATATATAAGCAATTCTTCTGTCACCCATATTATCATCGTGACACAATAAACGGTCCGTGTCATAGTAACGGGCACTCGACATCGAGACTTTTCCGTTTAGCTCGATGTCCGTATTTCGCTTCATCCACGATACCAGATCTGTTTGAAAAGATCTGTTCAGCCTTTGAATGCACTTGTCGGTGGCACGGGACAGATCCTCGGTTTTCTCCAACTGATACAGATCGAGGGCTCGACGTGTATGATTGTGACGGTCTAATTCGCATTTTAAGTTCTCTATAATCTCGTCTCTTAAGAAATTTGATATCCTACATACTTTAAAGGGTTTCGATATGATTTCCAGATTGGTGCTCTTAAAATCGCTTTGAGAGTGCCAGAGTTTTTTGAATTCTTCTTGAAATTTGGCACTGTTTATGTGTTCCGAGAACAACGTCTGACCCGCCATATTCTCTCCGTTTTTTTTTATTAAACATAGAAATCTTAAATCTACGAATCTACTCCTTCTTTCCTCAATACATAACAACCTTGGCAGAAAGATATTGGCGCTACGCACATATTATCCCTATATCTCGGCAGAGATTCTCCTAAGCTTGTTTAATCCTACAGAGTTCTTTTCTTACATTTAAACCATAATATTGCGCTGTAATATTTTCGACACCTCGCTTAATCAGAAAATCTCGAAAATAAAGTTGTAAACAAAATATATTCAATCGACAACGCGTTACCGTTACATTTTCTGCTCTTACAGATAATAATATATTAATAATAAAGTCGACACAACGTTACCGGTTTTTCACTGCTTTCCGACCGAAAAGTCGCGATAAACGATTCGTGAGTCTCAAACGCACGTGGTAACGCTTGGCCGACTACCTAACCTCTTTGCCGATTCCAATTCGTCGTCGACCCCGTCGGCGAAGTCTTATCGGCGCGTCTCCGGGACGGTGGACGGTGTATCCGGTATCCGGTTGTGGTTTCGTCGGTCAGTTGTTCCACTGCGTAAAATCCACGTGGGCGTTCCAGCCGTGCCACGTGTTGTGCCCTGCGAACACGGCAAGCGAAAAGACGCCGTTAATCGCGAATGTCACTCGTGATCGTCACGACCGGTCAGTAGGGACGATTCAGACGATTCTCTTGGATTCTACGTACCACGTAAATCGCGGCGAATGTCAGTGTGCCAGAGAAGTCCGTCTCTCCCTTCGCGCGTAAACACGCGTGGCGATGAACGGCAATGTCGATCTAGCGGCTCCGACTGCTCCGACTGCTCCGACGGCCTCGAGTAGTTTCGCGTACTAACCTTTCGAAGAACATTCGTTCTCCGAAGGCGGCAGGAACGTAGCACTCGCGACGACGCCCCGCGGGAATTTCCGGTTCTCGCACTCTCGGATTTCTCGTCCTTCTCAGAGCCCATTCAGACAAACTTGCATAGTTGCAAATTATTCAATCGCAACTCTGTCACATATAGACGCGCGTAAAATGCGATTGGATAATTTTCTTTGTGCTGTAAAATTTGTTTGGATTGGCCCTCAACGTCCAAAGTCGAAACCTAATGCGAGGCTTGTTTTCTAAATCTTTCGTGCCGTTTATTTTTCCCCCCCAACGTCCAATTACATACATATTTTATTTCACGTACGTAAGAAGTATGACAATAGCGCACAGCTGCGAGGAATAGCTACGGGCCTACGGGCATGTCAGCGCGTTCGAATTTCGAAATTGGCGCGGCTGCCTAGCGCCGGTTCGTTCAGGTTCGCCGCCGCGCTGTCAGGCGGCGCCGACGTCGCCGTGGCAACATGGCGGGCGCGTGTCACGTTTGACGGCTACGTACTGTTGCGTGGTCGCGCGTGGAGAGAAGAGAGAAGAGAGAGACTCGCGGAGCACGGCACGGCCCTGGGACCGGACCGCCGTGTGTGATCGTCGAGTGTGCGAGTGCGGTGCGTCGCGAGACATCGTCGCGAGGAAAGTCGTACGGCCGAATCCATCCTGGAACCCGATACCTGAGGGACGCGCGCATACCGTGAGTAAATATTGCGTTTCGCGTGGAAACACATGACACACGTCCCGACCGCGGTCGCGATCCACGCGGTTTCCCTCATCCTCGCCGATGTCCCTCCTCGTCGAGGCGCGATTCCGTCGCTCCCTCGCGGTGCGTGCACGTTGCCTGTGCCCGTTGTGCGTCGCCAACGCCAAAGCTGAGGGTGGGGTCCTTCCGGAGTCGTAAACCACGCGTCCCAGGACACGCGGGGCTGCCGGGATCTTCGCCTTCGCCGGGGTGCTCTCGCCAGTGTCCTCTCGTTTGTGCCGCGAGCGTCGCAGGTTCGCAGGCAGAATCGTCGTCGACGTTACGCGTCCACGCCGGCCTTCCCGGGGATCTCTTAGATTTCGAAATCCCTCCTGTCCGTAAATTTCGGAGTTGGACGGCCTACACAGCTGCGCCTACTCAGAATATTCGAGAAATACGAAGATCGAAAAATGTTCTCTTCCGCCCCTTGAAATTCGGAGCCGTCCGGCGGTCGAATTTGGCAGGTGTGCGCCTGTGGGGTGCTCGCCATCATTCCTTTCAACCTGGCATGGCGCGGTGTATTTATCTCGACCCGGTTACAATGGCATTGATGCGACTGGTGGATCAGTGACAACGTTAAACGTAGAATGATGTTACATTTTCTAAGGTGAAAATTGACGTCGTCAGATTCAATTCGATCGTCGCTTGTCGCAGCGCTGTGCCTTCGCACGATGACCACGTCATCGTCGGAGCCCACTCGTTCGGAGTACCCCCGTACAATGCCGTATACATTCGTCCGCCTCGCGTCATTCGTACATGACACGTTTGAACGTCACAGCCGAACGCGAGTCATCGATCGGCGACCCGTCGTTCCTAGTTTCCTATACACGAGGGGTTTGTTTCAGGACGTTTGTCCATTCGTCTAGGTATGTGAGGGAGAAAGGGGCGCGAGAGATCTCACGTTGATTCAGCTCCACGGATCTCGGCTCGGTGATTATCTCGAGCATGGTAGGCCTTGAGCCGACACTTTCCTACGACGTCCTACGACGAGAAAACGGGCCTTCGAATTTTGAAACGACCGTGTCGGCATTCGTTCGCGGAGGCGAACCAGCCAGCAGCGGTGTTTTTTGTCGCGAGCCGTGGGGTTTATGTACCGTGTTATTCGAGTCGCAGAGATTGCGCGACTTATTATCGATTAGCAAGCGCGGTCACGTGTTGGCCGTCGACGGACGCCGTTTTTCTCACAGTCCGCTCCAATGTCGTAGCTGACGCTTATAGCCGTTCTCGCGTATAGCCGTACCGAAGCGAAAACCCATTTCCGACCGGAGATACCTCGATTATCGATATCTCCGTTCAGCTGCGACTCACGTGTGAGTCTCTCACGCGCGCGACTCCACTTTCTATAAATTAACTTTAGTAACTAGAGATACGATTTATAATTTTATCGATTTTCCCTGCTTTTCTATTTCGTGGAGTCGATCAGGTTCTTCAGAGGCTCGTATATATTTCGGTTGTTCCAATTTTCATATAAATTTACTTTGTATATATTTCAACGTCAACAATCTTTCACTCCAAGCGCGAGTCAAAGTCACGCGAGTAAGGCACTTTGGAGCGATCGATGGTCACACGGGAAAAAGAACGCGCGCTCTTTGATAGGATGGGATCGTGCGCGCCCTAATCGATGCACCTCCCGCGATGAGGGTTCATTATCCTTTCTCCTCTCCGTTCGCCGCTGATAGGATACCTCCGGAGTGTCGGGTTTAACGACTGCGCCACTTCAGTCGCTAAACTGTCAATCGCGTCGTTAAGGTTGTAGTTGAAGTTCGACGTACGTCGATTAATGCGGCCGTGCGTGTTCATGCGCGTGAACCGTTATCTTGTATTGGGAAAAAAAAACGGACGACATGTATAACCCATTTATTTGATCTTCACACGTGATGTGAAGATTTAATTAGGCAAAAATTGAGGGGAAATGAAAAAATTACGCTTCTTCCTCGAAGCTTGAAAAAAGTAAAAATACATCTAATTTGTAAAAAAAAAAAAGAGAAAAGAGAGCAGCCGATCAATGACAATTTACGTTAATTTAAATGTGATAACGTGTTAAAATTTTAATCGCAATTCGTGAAACGATATTTCCCGATTCTTTTTCCGATACACCCTATTTCTCGCTGGCACCTGCTGGCAGCGAGGTCGTGAGATCACTTGGAGATTGTGAGAGAGTTTGATCAATGACGTACTAGCTTTAATAAAGCAATAACGGTAGTGTCCAAGAGTCCAAGGCTCGCACACGTCGCTCGCAAACGTAGCACATTAAATAAATATCGTATGGATTTCAGGGAACTTAACAAAAATCTATCGACAAAAATTTAAAAATTGCGTGCTTAAAGTTATGATAAATTATAATGTTTAACTAGCATTGATTTGTAGCTGCGAAATTGCAACTTCTCGAGAGTAGTATTTGTACGATAGTCTTATTTTCTTTTCGAAAGTTCTTCGTCTATCAGTTTTAATAGAAATTTAATATTAAATAAATACAAAACTCTTCACATATCGGGATTAAAATTACCGCACTTTTTTGGGCATACCGCGGATAAATAGCGCTAATGGTTGTAATTGAACATGCCAAAGAATGTAAAATTATAATTTTTTTTATTGGTAACGTTAACACATATATTACATTGCTTAATTAGTTTGTCATTGATTATGTACACATGATATAATATTGTAAATTTAATTATATATATTTACACTAGGGAAAATTATATATATATTACAATATAGTTTTATTTAATGCCAACGAGATGTGTTAAAGTAACAGCTGGTCACCGACGATCGGCGCCGTATGCAACATGTTAAAATTGTGTCGGCCGCATTTCCTTCTCTCTTCTTCGCGACGGCAGGATAGCGGCTCGCCGCAGCCGTAGTATTCGCGTCGCCTTATGGCATCCTCCGTTCGTCAGTAGAGTGCTTTCGAGTGCGGCGTGTGCGCGCCGTCCGCGTCGAAGAGATTCCCGGGTGGTCGGTCCTCGCTCCTCGCACGCGCGCGCTGTTTACGCCGTCATTGTTTCCGCGCGCAGATCGTTACGAGAGTGATTCTCAACTTTAGCTCCCGGCGATGGTGCAGCGAGGTAATCAACGCGCTCTTGAGTATCGCGATAATAATTCGGAGCGATTGCGAGCAGGATGATTGACGATCGATGGCCGATCTAACGATAAACACGTGTACATACATTTTATCGGAGACACATAGCTTGAAGGCGAATTTTATATACAAGAATCATTTGTTTATTTGTTTTTGTGCAACACGCAGGATAAGTCTGCTATTATCAGTCCTTTTTTTCATAGTTTCTCAGCTTAACGCTTATCTTTCTGGATATTTGATACTATTACAATTGGGACTATATTTGAATTGATGCGAGACGTCGTTGCCAGATACACAAGCGCAATTCACGAATTGTCATTTCACCGCTCAAATGCCTCGCGGAATGACTCCCGTATGATGTATCACGAGCACAGCCGCGATAAAGTGCGCTCGACATGACGCAGCTGCCACGTTGCAACTGCAACGGAGCAATTGCCGCATAATTTCTCTCGACGACTATAATATTTCGCGCTGATCGTGTACGGTATACGAGTGACAGCTTAAAGCGGAGTCAAAAACCAGCTTGTTCATAACGGTTTGGAATCGCGGACCACTTAAGGAGTCACTTCAAAATAATTGTGATAAATGCAATTGAGATTTTCGATTAAGATTTAATGTTTCCGTGCTATCGCGCGCAAACGTCATTTTCTGTGTCGCATCGCCTCTACCCAGTCTACAAAAAGCTGATTCGATCACGAGATTGCGGGCCGACTCGTTTATCATTTAGACTTCAATGTCCTGCCTTCGGATTATCGACTACAATTTTATCAGTATAATATATTACAAATATAATCGCGCTTTCAAAGTGGATTGCTTAAATAAAAACAGATCCGCTATTCGGACACAGGCATCCGCTATGATTCATTCATTCGGCTATAAATGCCGGTCAAATCACGATACGAAAGTACGAGAACAAACTTCTCACTCGTTAAAGTGTTAAAACAATGTGAGTAATTCGTACAGCCCCATTAAAGAGCGATTCGAGCGTGCGGTCGAGCGGTGACAGATTCGTGAGCGCAGCTTCTATTTTTATTCTGGACATGTGCTAAATACGACCCGCGTCATCTCCGGCATCGAGTATTGTTGTCTTTATTGCCCTGTGATGCCTGATCGTT